AATAAAGGAAAAAAATGTAAAATGTATAAACATAATTAAATTAACTTAACTATAACATTAAAAGCAGTGAAAAATAATAAAGTCTGTGTGTAAAAGAATGTTGTAGAATGTTGTATATAGTAATACATATTTGGAATATAAAAATATTAAAAATAAATCTAAATATAATTAATACAGATAAACGAAATTCATTAAAACAATAGAGGGTGAGAGTAAATGAATGCTACAGACAGATTTCATGGATTTGCGAGTAAGCCAAACGTGTATATTGAAGAATAGATTCAATTCCATGTATAGCGAAATCCAGTCAAGGTGGAGATTCCCCCACTGGAAATGGTGGAGTTGGCAGGCAAATAATGATGGTTAATGCAGATATACACAAAGAGGGTGTATTATACGGATGAACTGTGTTAAATGTGCGAGAGTAATTGTTATTTATTGTTTGGGACAAATTGCAATTTAAATGCTTTATTATACAAGACAATTTACGCTTTACGAATTTTTAATTTAAAGGATTTTATTTCCATAAACAAACTTTATTTTACAAAGAAATAATCGCAATCACTTAATTTGAACAATATACTTATACCTCTATTAACGAATAGGTAAGTTACTTTATTAAGCGAAAATTCGTTTTCAAAGGTAAAAATAATATAGCCATAATGGATATAAGTTTCTTACTAAAGGAAATGATAAGCTTTTTTTCGAACAAAGAAAAGTTTTATTAAATAAACAGCTAACTTGCGTACAAAGTGAAATTACATTTTAAAATTTTAGTCTAAAATGGGCAGTTTATGATTTTTTCTCTCTTTCATTTAACAATTGCCTATACTGAGAATTATTTTCACTAAAAAAAGTTTAAACCTTTCCAATGTCATTTAAGTACTATTTAAATTTATAGTTGTCAACATTTTTTAGGCACGAACTTCTATAATTTCGTCTTCATTTTATTTGCTAACAAGGATATCCACTGAAAAAATTCTACATTCAATTCTAACATCTTCTTAATTTACGAAACCTATTGATTGAGACATCTAGATAACTTCATTTCTAATTTACTTCATCTATTACAACATCTGGTCATATTTTGTGCCAAACTACATATAACCATATTTTAGTGACTTTTTTCTAAAACTCAATGTTTTTATTTTTACAATTGCAGACTTCGTTATATTCAGGTGTCGTTATTAGAGTTATAACTGTATTTTCTTCAAAATATATTATTTCGAATTTATTTTTACAAACTTAAAACATTTAGTAACATTATTGAATTACAAAATTTAGGGTCAATAAGCCAATGCAATTATTACATTAATAATGTGTTTATTTTTGCTTACTTTTCATGTTGTGCATCTATTATAATAATTTCTAAAACTACCATATGTATATATATTATTTTTTTTATAGTGAAGTCGTAAGCATGAAGTACGTTGCATAAACTTATTTAGTTTTACTCATTATATAAATAATTTCAATTTTATACTTAGATAATCTAAAGTGTAATGATCCTATTCACATACAAACATGTTGAGTGTAAACTTGGTCATAAGATTTAATAAACAGCAAAAGTGTAGTAGTCCTTGAAATAGAAGATGCAAAATACTAGAAACGCCTTGATAAACGTCTGAATAGTAGCAATTAAATAGAATGATAATAATTAAATGGGAAAGGATGGATATCCAATTAAAAGCAAAGCCGACTGGGTTGCCTGAAAATTAATAACTCGTATTTACCTAGAATTTGAATATTTAATAAACGTCATTTATTAATAATTTATTTTATTTGCGCGCCGAGAAAGCTTTATGCACGATAAATAATATCTAAGTTAATGAATGTTTGCCGCAGTTGGAATTTTAAGTGCGGCCCAGAATGCAATTTGCGTCCTGCCCGCAACTGCGATTAATATCCTCCATCTCCGTCTGTCTCCTTTCCACTCAAACAGGATGCATCTACTTGTTCCTCGTACTCTTCTCATGAATGAACGTAGTTAAGTAATCGAATGCATGTGGATTACAATACGACGAATAATAAAAAAGAGAAGATGAAGATGGAGAACGCATGAATCGAAGTACAAACAAAATGATGCATGGGACTCGAGTAATAAATAATTGACAAGCGTGTCGAGCGAGGATGGCCTTTTTAATTATTGGATTCCACGGCATACGAAATACATATTAATCAAAATGTATCTTCGATATTTCATAACTCGGTGTGTGGCTTATTGTTGATACTAAGTGATTTATGTCTGACACCAAACGCATTCTTAATAACACAAATATTATTTGTTAAATCAGCCAACCAACTCGTGGACAAGACNTTTTATGCTTTCTCATTACAACCAATTACAAAAAATCAATCACGTCGCACATTGATACTTCAATAAATTAATCATTGTTAGAGTGGTTGACAAACTGTGTTAAATGCATTGAACATTTCTAATAATTGTGATAAATTGGAATTTCATTGAATATTATGCACATACTTGTATATTTCATAAATAGAATAAACTCGAATAAATTGAAAAAAAGCATACCTAGTACAGTGCAACTTCGATTAGTATGCGGATTCACCACAATACAATTTGAAACTTTCATAGCAAACACAATTTTAATTGAAAAATAATAATTAATTCTAAAAAAATAGTACATCAAAATATTGTTTTATACATAAATTTACTTTTTTGTGCTGTTTTAAATTAACCCGTAGCTGCTACAATCCAGTCAATTTGATCTTTTCACTTTTTAAATCTAAATCAACTTTTAGTTGCGCTTTCTTCCTTTACTTAATTTTCGCATAACATAAAAGTTAATTTGCTGATAAACAACATAATAAAGGTTTCGGTTTAAAAACTTATCATTTGTGGACAAATACACTCCATACTTGTATTTTTGATATTAGTCTGATATTTATGTTGAAATTTTTGCTTTGATATTCGTCTGAAAAGTCAATATTCGTCCCACAACCGACGTGGCGGACGAGTTGACCGATGTGAGTGTTAATTCTTCTGGGAAAAAATCGTCTTTTTAATATTTGATCTCATCTCAGGAACAAATAAAAATATATTAATTTATTTAAATAAAAATTAATTCTTAATAATTAGTACACAAAATAACATAAATGATCATTTTTTCATTGAATACAATCAAGTCTCTTTTTGTATTTATTTTAATGCTATTTCAAAGTCTTCGATTAGTCCTGTTTCAAACACACATTTTTTGTACTTACAGATATGTTTATAATTCTGAAGCATTTGAAAATAAGTATAGTTTTTCATTTCTATATGATTTTTACTTTAATATTTTTATTCCAATATTTAAGATTAAATAATTGAACTGCATTCATTATTGTATAACTAGTTTTTAAGTAACTTATTTCCTAATTAATAAGAATATGGAAACAATTTTTAATTATAATTCGCATTTAATCAGAATAGTAATTTGAAAGTATCATAACTAAGAAATTATAAATTGCATGTAATAATAAAACATTGTTCAATATGTACTTAATTTAGAAAATATGATGCATATTTATAAAGGTTGTAAATATTTAATTGAACATATTTTCATTATTTCATTAAATCGGATTTTATTCGTAGAAAATATACTGCTAATCGCACGACACTATTATTATTTAAATTTGCAGCGTTAATGGCTTCGTGGTAAACCCTTCCGATGTTTTATTAAAATAACTGCCTTAATAAAGTGTATCGTAGTTTTCTGTATTTATGCAGGAAATAAACATTATCAACACTTTTGCGCCTTGTTTGACGCCAGTTTGACTCACGAGACTGTGCGATAATAAATAATATCCAATATGAAGACACGCAATCCTTGTGCAGCAAATGAAAACAACAAATCTTCGGAAATATAATGAAGATATTCCAACATAGTAATATCTCAATTTCATAATAACAGTTTGCTGTAATGAAGCCAATTTTAGTGAAATCATCTTCACTAATAGTTTTTCGTAATTATAACACTTTACTGAAGTATTTTGCATACTTAATGCGATGTTCTGTTGCTGTATGTTATACAGAAAATATATATGGAGGAGGAAATGTGTATAAATCTTCGGAAAGTAATGGTAAAATAAAGATCTTAATTTCAGTCCGAAAACCGTTGACAGGTGATTTATCAAGGGAGGTGTGGGAAAGCAATTTGCGCCAGACGCAAATTTATCCTCTGGTTAAGTCGGACAAATAAAAGCGCCTGCAAAAAAAATGATGACGAGGATTATTATTATTATGACTATTGGCAATTGCAGTTCGAGGCAGTGGTTTTATGGCGTTTCGAAAAATCAATTTGCAATAAAATTTTCTCTTCCAGAGTTGAAGAGAGACACGATTCTCAGCGATCCGAGGTGTAAGTGTATAACGGATTAGTTTCAAAATGGATGCCAAAATGGTTGAAGGGGAAAGAAATAACAATTCAATTTGCAATAAAATTTATTATAAAAGGAATAAGTAGAGTAAACGTCTTTATACAGAAGAAAGATGAAGTGAAACAAAGAGAAATAAAACTTAAATGATAAAGAGACACGTGCTGCATCAGGGGAGATCTTTCCAAGTCTTCCAACGCATTATTTATGTACAATTAACCTAATCGGATCAAAGGAAGTTTTCTTTATTTTAAACTTCTTTGGTTTCAAATGCAGCTCCCCCAATATTTAGTCTATACGAATATACACTGTTTTTTCTTACATAAAGAGGAAAACTTATAATTGAATCAATTTCGGATTGTTTACGTTCGCAACTTGGGGGAAGATCCAATATTTAAATGATCATCTTCTTCTCCCCATGTCGCACCGAACTTTATGATAATGCACGTTTCTTCTCAATTGAAAATCCCGCCGATTTCTATTACACATTCAACTTAATTGAAAAACTTTTGATCTAAGTGGATTCAAATTAGCGGAAGTCACAGAAAGCGGAAGCATATTGGAAAAATAAGGGCGAAAAAACGTTTGTTGAAACAAAAAAAAACGTGGAAGCACTTACTTACCGCCTGCCGCGTTATTTTCATCGTCGCTGCGGTCGTAATTGTCGTCGTGCTCCTCTGTTGCCATCATTTGTACAATCGGAATCTCTGGAAAACCAAGAAATGATGTGTTACAACACTTACTAAACATAAAAATAACACTAAAAATACTGCCTAGATACACTTTCCATTCCTATTGCAAAACTGAGGATTTTATTACATGAGATGATCATTATGTAATTACGTTTCTACCATATTATATTATAGATATTATTAAAAAAACAACTATCAAATTACAAGGTGTATATTCATATAAATTTCGAATACGAAATAAAACGTAGAAAAAACACATAAATATATGCAATTATAAGCAAATTGGCAGTCCAATTACATAATAGAATGACAAAGTGTACGTTCGTATGAATTTCGAGTACGTTTGTACAAACAAAGTGACGAATATAATAAAAAAAACATAAATACATGAAGTTTGGAGTATTTTTGTGCATACAAAGTGACAAATGTATAGAAAAATGCAAATAGATGCATCTATAAGGGAATTCACATTAACAAAATTTAATGACAAAGTGCACGTTTGTATGAATTTGGAGTAGTTTTGTACAAACAAAGAGACAAACGTATCAAGAAATTGTAAATAGATGCATTTATATGGGAATTCACATTACAAAATCAAATGACAGAGTGTACGTTAGTATGAATTTCAAGTACGTATGTACAAACAAAATGACGAATATAGTAAAAAATCATAAATACATGTATGTCCCATTGATATAATTCAATGAAAATGTTTGGAATATCTTTATGCAAACAAAGTAACAAATGTATCAAAAAAATTGTAAATAGATGCAGTTATAAGTGAATTAATATTAATAAAATTCAAAGACAAAATGTAGTTTCGTATGAATTTAGAGTACGTTTGTGCGAACAAAGAGAATGTACCAAAAAAATCGTTAATACTCATTTATAGGGAATTTACAGAGTGTAATGAAATAAAATGTAAATATTATTAAGTAAAGTATATTAATAAATGAAAATGAAAATAGAATAATCATTGTTATATCATTACTAAATACCTATGTAAGAAAGTAAAAATTAATTATGAAAATTAAGCATGAAAGTAACAATTATTAATTACAATAATTATGTTTAAAACGAATACACGACTACTAATTGTAAACAAAGTAGAGGTAGTTTCACTATTTAATTACAGTGAGTAAACTAGCTGTGATGATTGCCAACATCCGGAACATGCAAAGGAAGAATTAATCATAACCCAAGTAGAAAAAAAACTTATTTAATCTTACATAATCAATTATATAAAAGGTGTAAATGACTTATAAATAAACATTTGATTATTTCCAAACTATTTCCCGTATTTATGCAATAATTCAATGCATAATATATTTCGTAAAACGTAAATTAATAAATTGAAAACACATTTTCCAATCTTTATTTTAAAAATGAATATCCAGTCACACTGAAGTACTAGTTCCAGAAACGTAAATGCTTTGTATAAGAATTTATAAATAATTTAATTATATTTTTTTTTAATATCTAAACTGTATTTTCTATACTAAAACTACCTCAACTTTTTATGAAATAATTCGTTTCAAAACTTCGTACATTGAAAACACATTTTCCATAAAAGTAATCTCTGTATTAAAATATTAAAATGCAGATACTGAAGTTGTAGAAATGTAAATGTTTTATTTAAGAATTTATAAAATAGTAATTTTTAAATTTATTAAATATATAAATTGTATTTTATATACTAATTCTACTTCCAGTTATTATGAAATAACTGCGTAAATTGAAAACACAAAATCATAAACGTAAACTATGTATTGAACAGTATGTCTGCATACTAAAGAACAAGTTATAAAACAAGATCTTTATCTATAAGTTATGTAATTATAAAATTAGTAAATAAATAAACATTGTGTATTAAATATGTAAATATATGAATATTGGGAATGTTACATGAAAGTGTTATTGATGTAATTTATAAAATTAGTAATAATTAATAATTTAAAGATTACTTTTAACATTTATAAATTAAGAAATTATTAAGATGAGAAAAACTGGATTTAAAAACTTATTTATCGCTTTTCTCAGTTTCATAAATATTCTCATCGTTTAAATAAATGTTTTTTTTTTCTCTTAAAGTACATGTGACTAAAAGTCAAAACAATTTAAAAACTTTTATAAATGTTGTATAAGTGTCTTTGATGTTAATATATTACTTAATTTAAAAGGAACACGGCGTTTAAAAGGATTGACTTTTTTAAATGCATCCTCAATGTATTATTATTTCAGAGGTGATCACTAAAGAAACGTCGGAGAGTTGGAATAAGGAAAAGAGATGCGCCGCGGAGGAGTTATTCTGCAAGATAACAATGCCTCCACACCTCTTTCAACAAGAGTGGCCTTTTCAAGAAACTGATGTTGAATTAGGAAGATCTTCCGCATCGGTCTGTTTCGAGGCTCCCCCATCAGATAACCATCTGTTTAAACCGCTTTGAAATTCCTTAGATTAAAAAATAAATAAAATAACCAACAATGCCATCGGGTATAATGAATTAAGCAGATCTACAGAATTGAACCATTGTCCGTAAATTGATTTTATTATAGTTTCTAGTAAAAAAATATATACTTATTTATTTTAAATCGTGATTTCAAAGAGTAAATAATATTATTGAAATTATATATAATTATATATAACTTATGCAATTTAATGTAATATAATAAAAACATACTTTCTTAAATCAAGATTTGTAGAAAATCATATACAAATATCCAGAACTACTTGAAACCGGACTAATCGGTGAACTAAATACAGCAATTTTTCGCATAGTACGGTCAATTCAAGAAATATTCCGCATTGTTTGAAATTGCACTAATCTAGGACGAGGACGATTTAAAACGACTTAAAAATAAACAGCGCAAGAGGAGACTTGACTGTATAGAGGAAACAACGTATAATTGTATAAATAATAATTTTGTATCCTATTTTTTTAGAATTTATTTTTATGTTGTTCAATGAATTTGTTTGAAATTTTCAAACCGCACTATGCGAGGAATTTCTGTAATAATTTATTATATTAAATGTTATTATTGAAACGAAACATATTATTTCTAATAGAGACATTTTACATTGAAAATAAAATATTTTTTGGGAAGAATTGACTTTTTGAATCAAATTCGATTCTATCCCTAAATTGCTTCAATAATAAAATCGAGGAATGAAATAATAAGAGAAAAAAACGGTACGGAGGAAACGGCGTTCTGTCTGTGTTCGTCTCTATTTAAATTCATATATTTATGGGCCATTCTTTTCACATTTTTAAAGGCCTTCCCTGCTATGTATGCATATAATAAATTAAACACTTTATTTCGACTTTACATGTTTTCGAGCCCGAAATGCCTCTCCCGAGTATTTTGACCTCTCTTCCTCTTACAAACTATCTTGTATTGAGTTTAGTTACAATAAATACACACAATTTATAACAAAGATTTAACTACTGATATAGTTTTTTGTTTAATATTTTCTGTTATTTCATTCATATGGAAAATCGAACAATAGTAAACAATAATAATTAATAGAAAATTTGTGAATAGAAAAATTAATGAATAAAAACAAAATATTGTATTTTATTTAATACTAATGGCTTAAATCTAAATAGTTTAATTAATTTAATACTAATAAAAGTGAATTAGTAGTTCTGCTTTTTAATGCAATGATAATTAGTTATTATGAAACTAATTCTAAACTAATTAATCGAATGTAATATTTATGTAATAATGTTATCTAATGAAATTAACGCAATTAATAAAAAATTCAAATAATGTAATCAATTTACTACGTTTTGCTTTGTTTTTTAATATAAAATTTAAAAATATTCTACTAAAACTGACAATGTACTAATATACAGGTGAAATATATTTGTTGATGAAAAGTTTAATAAAATTCGTTTATAACACCAATTACGCTAATTATGCTAATTGAAAATAAACTTGATTATAACATTCCTTAAATTACGTTTAAATTTTGCGTGAGTGAATATTAATTTCTTACTTAATTATGGTAAGTGATGCTAAATAAGAGATGTAAAATAACAAGAAAAATTATTTGATGAGAAAACGTATTTATGGTAAGGAAATTCATCAGAAATTTCAGAAAACCCATTCGAGTTTATTTAAATCCTAATTTGTTTCTACACAGAAATGATGTACAACAAGTAAATCGTTATTTACGTTCGAGACTGGAGATGATGCCTTTGTGCGGTATTTTTTTTGCTTTACGCAACATATTGTTTTTCGTCGTCTCCTTTCGCTTCTTCTTCTGATTATTTTTTATTTTATTCTGGAATTTCACGTCTGGCCTCTTTCGTTCCGTTTTAATAACGCAACAAGCTCGTAAATTAACAAAACCTGGAGGGCACATAATTTCATTATCTCCACCCACACCATGTCGTGCACACGAGTGCAGCCAGTGTACACTTTGAAGTGCCAAACGGGAAGTTAAAACTTTAGTTAAATAAACACTTTAAAGACCGACTATTTTTCCTCGTTCCTTCCTTTCTTCTCTCTCTATCCACTTCTCTCTTCTTATCGTTATCCTCGTTGCATTTTACGTATCATCGTCATTATCAAATGTTCAACTTTATTAAGACATTAAAGCCTCGTTCTTTTCCATCGCGTTTTAGATTTTACAAAGCAGATTTCAATATTTATTACAGAGATTAAAGCACTTTTTAATATAGTTTACGAGACATGAAATAAAAGTTTGTTTGAAACAATCACGTAATCATATTATTTGATATTTATACCATATTTTAGGAATATTTCTTTATTTTTTTAATTGGATATGTATACATCAAATCGAAAATTTCCGTATTTTATATAATATTATTGCTAATAAATATTTATCAATGGTTATAATTTACATTTGAATTAAATCGAAAGTAAATCGAAATACGAAGACTTACTTATTTCTGTTTGATGAAATTATGATAGATTATTTGAAAAAATTGAAAAGTCAGAAATAAAATTATTAATTAACTTAGTTGAATAAAATTGAATGAAATTGTAAATAGGATACGTTATTCAAAGTTTTGAGTAAATAAATTGTCAATGAATTAAAATTGACTATTTTCTAAAAAAAAAAAATTTCTATTTTTTTTTAAATGATATTAGTGCAAGGCATTTTCTAAAAATCTGAATGAAATTTATTAATAAAACTGAATGAAAGTAGAAAGAGTACACGTAATAAAAAATATTTAGTATATAAATTGACAATTAATAAGAATATTTTTTGTTTGCTATTGTTATTGAAATGCATTTGCTTAAATGAAAGTAAAAAAAAGTACTCGGAATTAAAAGTCTTTAGTAAATAAATCAGAAATGTATAAGAAAATTAAATGTTTGATATTTCTTTAAATCATTTTAAAATTATTTTATTGCAATTAAAGTAATATCAAAAAACCAAAATTATATGTTCATTAAAGGTTCATATAATTGAATGAAAATAAAAATAAATTGAAAAATATTACACATAGTGTAATTGAAAAGGATTTACGAAAAAAACAGTAATGAAATTTATGAATGAATCTTTTTCAAATTGAATGAAAGTATAGAAAGAGTACAAGTAATTAAAAGTCATTAGAAAATAACGCTAATTATTCCTTCAAGTTACATTAAAATGTTAATAAAATAAAGAGTAAGAGTTGAGGAATGCAGATTGCATTACGCAGATATCTACAAACAGATTCATTATCGATTTAAACATCTGAACATTTTAATTAGAGAAATTTTAATGGATTGGTCGATGTGAATTTGCTCGGTTCGATATTTATGATGTCGTATTTGCATGTATCTGTTCGAAATAAATTTTCGGTTTTGTTTCGAATTCGTATTTAATTGGAGCTTCAATTAAGTTTTATGATCGGCAGATAATTATTTCCTTCGGACAAAAATACTTTGCCGAGCGTATCAACGTTTATGGGAACCAGCATGTGACCAATTATGGTTAATTACTAATTGGTTTCACTTTCAATTTCACATGTATACTATATCTGTTTAAATAAAAACTTGCTTTTTAAATACCTGTGTAAATAAAGTAAATCTTTTCTCAATAATTTAAATACAATTAAAAGACTTTGTTTTTCAATAAATATAATATTTTAACACTAAACTAAAACTAAACACTAAACTTGATGTAACAGATGAGTTTAATGATATTTTTATAATTTTAAATAATCAAGCAAATATACGATTTTAAAATATTACACTTAAAAAATGTTATTAATTAATGGTAATTATACGTTAAGAACTTGAACCTGTTTTGATTTGAATTGAACAACAAGAGAAGTTTTAATTCTCACAACATGATTTTAAAGTTGATGCTAAAAATGCGATAGCTTCTGAAATTATTATACTAATTAATAAGGAAATTTAACAATTTGAAACAAAATCAATCATAAACCGCTAAGAAAGGCTCTAAATTAATTAAAATATTTTACTTCAACTATACATTTGTAATAATCACATAAAACATAAGTAAGTCACAATAACGTGGAATTGTTTGGCAACTTTTTATCTCGTATAAAAAAAATGATTATTCAACAAAAAAAAATGAAAAATCGAAGATAAAACAAAATTTCTAGCACCTTGTAGCCAGGTTTTGCATATATGTTTTTATTTATTAAATATAAGTAATACACTACACTACCTGTTTAATTCTCGTTTTTCTAAGTTCAATTTTATAATGTATATCCGATAATAAACGCAATACATAATCTTTATTTCAAATATTGAAAAAGGAACAAAAAAAATCTTACTAAAATTTAATTTAGCTATTGGGAATAATAAATAAAAATACATACAGTACTTGGTTTCATTTATAACATGCTAATAAAAATATTCTGTATTTATTTGCATTTTTTATTTGAAATAATTATAATGAAAAAAAAAACGTCAAAAAAATATATTTAATATATAAATTTATTGTTGGAAAAATATTTATCATTTTATAATTTACGAAGACGATATTAAAATTAATAATTCATACAAATTACCATTATATTAATTTCTAATTATATGTTATAAGATATGACAGAATGATCTTGTTATTCATTATGTGTTGATAATAAAAATATTCTAAATATATTTGCATTCTTTTTTTGATAAAAGTACGGTCAGAAAATATACTTAATAAATAAATGGATTGTTGGAAAATGACTTACCATTTTATAATTTACTATTTTATGAAGGAAGGATTAAAATTTATAAATTCATACAAACTATCTGAATATTACTTTCTATTTTCTAAGTGGTAAAATATGACTAAATGATAATAATAAATTAAATTTAAAAAAAATAGAGATACATGAAGCTTTGTATTATGTGTCTATTTATTTAAACCTACATTATTCAAGATTGTGTGTATTCGAAAATAAAAATTACATCTCAGTAGTAATAATTCTTAATCCTCTAGTGATTATTAATGATTAGGAATTCCGTTTGGGATTTCGTTACTCGCTTCGCCACGTTTGGCTCCGAGCACCGTACAATTTGTCAATGTAAAACGTCACTTACTGATGCAGGGTGCTATGTGGGATCTGCTCTGCTGGTATCCTCGGGCGCAGCGGTTGCACGTAATCCCCGTTACGCCATCCTTGCAAGGACATTGTCCCGTCTGATGATTGCAGGTCCTGCCGGACGCTCCGATCGGATGGCAATCGCAGGCTGCAAAAAACAAAGCAAAACATAAGCAAATTGGGACCGCTCGCAATTACATAATAGGCGCGTCGTAATTTTCATTCGTGGTTCACCCATAAACGTCGTAAAAAATAAGTGGGATCTCCATCAAAGACCCAGCGGGGGGGTTATACTAAAGCCTTTACACGCGACTACCGACTTTATGTAAGTCACGGACTCGGCCATACTCCGTTTTGTCTTTGACATAAATAAATTACGAATTACCTGGGCTGAATTATCTCGACAATGTCTTAATGCCGCGTTCAATCCAAGTACAGATTTCTTGACTGCATTTGACGTCGTTTATCTTATTTTTGTTGACGTTTCTCTCACGTTAAATTAGGCGCCTTGATCAATAAATTGCAACGACACTAACATTTCGACAAGATTCCTTATTAATTCTTTTATGCACGGAGGAGAATAAGTACGTTGTAGTAAATATTATGGAATGCGATGTTCGAAGCGACACATAAATAATTACATGTCGTCTGTGTAGTTTGACTCAAAGCGTTGGAATTTATTCCATTCAGTATTTTCACTTTACCTTCAAACTACGAAAAAATAGCTTCTTTATACTTATACCACATTAATCAATATAATACAGAATTGGAATAATTATGCTTGTATACATAAAATCCGTCCCATTTTGTGGGGATTATTTTTATATATTTTGTTCCACGATTAGTCAGGTTCAAACAGCCAGGCTTGGGTCAAAATGCAACCAATAAAAATGTATAACTAAATAATTGAAGATATTCTAAATTTGAGTGTTTCAAAGGCTTAAATATATGTATTGTAAAGAGATAATTATGTAATTAATTTCATTCTATCTAATTATTTTTAAATTGTCAAAAATGACATACGTAATGTCAAAATCAAGGTTTGATAAAAGCTTGTTTCCATCTTCAAATTTTTTAGGTGACAAAATGACGTATTTTTTGGAACTTCAAAGAGTTAAAGTCAAAAAAATTGCCTTAAATTTAGAAAATGTCAAATTTTTTAAACAAATAAAGGATGTATAAATAATGCGATGTTATAAAATTTAAATAATTTGTAGATTTCATAATATAAATATATCATGAATGTAATATGAGGTAAATTTTAGATTAACATAATAGAAGTAGGGTATTGAAATATATAGATAGTGTCCATTAGTAAACAATTCAGTTTGGTGCGTGAGATGGTAATGATAATATCTACACAAGTTGGTCAAGCTCTGTATTACTCTTGTCTCCATCGTTAATCTCTATTTAAATATGTCGTTTCTAAATAAGTATATTACAATAAACTAAATGTAAGTCGAACATTAGAGTAAATGCTTATGTAATAAATATAAATTATTTACTTCCAAATCATTTCCATGTGCATTTCAAAATAACTGAGATCTATTTCCCTTAAAATAAGTTTTTACTGATTAAAATTTATAAAATGCTTTATTTTATAATTATAAAAAAAAATAAAGGTATCGGTAAAGTATCCATTCAACAAATATCCACGTTATATATTTCTTAATTTTCATAAACTGTCAAACAGATGGAAGCCACCCATGTTCGAAACGAAAGTAAATTACATTTTCCGGTGCAATTATTTCAACTTTTTTTTTCGTTTTGTTACGCGCTTGTGTAAAGGCCAACTACGGTGAAGAAGATACAAAATAAAGGGGACTATAAAATGCATGGAATTCGGGTTGCCGGTAATAAACTAAAAAAGTATGGTACCACAGCAGGATACACGGAATTGCAAGAAATGTTCCCGCACTTTCAGTACTCGTAAAAAATAAGCCACATCAAAATCCGTTAGTTCAGTTTGTTTCATAAGTGCGGCCCGGGGGCCATCTGGAACACATATTCCTGTTTAAGTCAGTCTTAATATGTTTACATGAACCCAAAACATCAAGTTTTAAATTGTAAATTATTATTGTAATTTCATTTATATATTTTGTGTGTCACACAGATATATTTGTATCATTATAAAGTTAACTTTATTGAATTGAAAAATAGTTGTAATTTTTCATAAAATTTGGAAACCACTGCCATAGAGTCACATTTGTATCATTGCTTTTTGAAATTCTGTAGAAATGATGATATTTTGTCAAGTTTCATATAAAATGATGTAAATTATATAATCATAGAATCAAATTGATTTGAAATGTGTATAAGAATATCGATTTTCGCTGCTTGCAGTGTGGACATGTAGGCAAAATTGAATCTGTCTAAGAATGTTCGATGTAAAAACTTGTCTGGCAAAAGTGACATTTATCATTTTCGTCGCAGTGATATGATCGTGAGGAGGAGGCAGTGAACGAACGCGAGCTTTCGTCCCATTGATTTTAAAGGATGCAAGATGGTGAAAAGAGGATGAGGATGAAGAGGAGGCGGAGGAGGAGGATGAGGTCGAGGTGGATGAGGCATCACATACTTAAAGCAATTTCGAATTTTATGAATAATGCATCGCTTTATATACAACACGGCCAAGAGATGGCCACATAATGAAGAAGGAGGATGGAATAAAAAAAAAGAGGAAAACCGAAAGAGAGTTAACTGCAAAGCTAAAAAATGGCAATGTCTCCCCGCTCATAAATAATGTATATCGAAATTAGTTGGCTCGATTCATATTTGCATCATAGCATTATAATCGATACACACACATCACTGGAAGCTAGTGTTTTTAGGGACGAGACACCAAAATTGAATGGAGGCACTGAAATCGTATTACAAGTTTATTAACAAGTTTTCTATTTAAATTTTCTATATAAATAAGGGCTTGGTGTTTCCTGTTTAGATAGCTTTAGTTTATAATATATACAAGGTATGCAACACATTTTCAAAAGCTCTTTTCTTCTCAAGTCGAACTTAATTTATGCTACCAATCTCTAAATATGTTAAGTTTTGAAATATTCTGAATGTGTACTAGTCATAATTTTCTAAAATTATGATTAGAAATAGTACACATAGACCAATCTCAATCAATCCGATTTGAAAATTTTACTAAATTTTAATTGATCAAAATGGAAAAAAAAGATCCAAAAATAAACTTTACTTAAATTACAAACTGTTAATTGATCTGACTTTATAATTTAAACAACAAACAAAGTTTATGATTTAAGAGTGATATAAGAGTACATGGGTCTATATAAATTTAGAATGTATTAAAGGGACGTATTGTGTTGTAAAAATATGGTTAGTCTTTCTAATTACCAATAAAGATACGGGCGAAGAAAAATGAGGATAATCTGTTCGTGAATTACGAAGATAAATTTGTTCGGCTGTTAATTTGAATATAAAGTGAAATGGTTTCGGTCGGTGAAGGAAATAATGGGAACGATGAAAGCCGTCGGTGACGAGAGGACAAAAGGGCCTTTTGTCTGGCCGCCCGAAAACGTCGTGATTGCTGCAATGTCGTCTCTCTGATGTAGAGATTTGCAAAACATAAGCTTTACTATTGTTGCCACGAGATCAAGATTAACCGTTCCTCTCCTCCTCTACCTCTTGGATCTGTGTTTGCCTTATGTGCCTCCTCTTGGTCATTTTTTTTTATTTCACTCTCTGCTATTAAAACAACAAGGGGAGATGTTATTTCGCTGAAACTTTCATATATATATACCATATATTATTCTGCAAGGAAAAATATATATGCGTTCTTATGACATAAAAGGATAAAACCGTTTTCTACCAACAAAAGAAAGCGACGACGGCTTCAACAAGACGTTCGAAGTTTTTTTTTTATCCTTTCTTGTTTTCCTCCAGATCGTAGATTACGACGTAATTGCACACATCATATAGTCTTTGTTTGGGATTTCAGTTACACTCGATGACACCTCAACATATTGCAAAAAACATCACTATTATATCATAACTGCATTATATCTATTAATTACATATTAATTTACTAAACATATTTTACTGATTGAAAACTCATCAATTTAATAAAATAAAACTCTAATTATAATAGAAATTGAAATACAAATGTTTCTTTTTATGAAATATCCATTAAAATAAAGTATTATTAGGAAGTTATGTTTAAGGGCTTTGTAACAGTTTATAGGGATAGAAAATAAAACGTTTGGATGGACCCTCGCCGGTATGAAGTAACCATGCGTTAAACCCCATTATTTCCACACTTGACAAATCGCTCAAAGCATATGAACATTAAAAGACAACTAATGGTTTCTATTAAAATACAATAGCATAGTTTCTCTTCATTATTCTGCTTGAATGCGTGTAATTATCTGTCGTTGTGGTCTTCAACGTATTTTTGGGTCAAATTCTACATGTCAGATTACAGGCTGTACGCAAATATTAATTCCATGCCGATTCGTTACTGCATTATACACAAACATTGTAAACTCGCTAATATCCATCGTCTATCTTGCTGTATAGCTATTTCATTGATGGATTAATGTATTTAACTAGAATTTAATCAATTTAATTTGCGACCTATTGTATACTCTCGATTGTGATTAATATTAGCTTATGTAACTTGATCACTACACAAAATCTGTATATTGTTTAATATTGCTTTGTTTTCAGATGACACTAATTACTAACATTGCATCAATATGTTTCCAAATTTTGGTTGTTTTATATAAAATATTTAATATTTTTCATATAATAATTTACAAATTAGTTTGTTTTAATGTTCAAGATAAAATACATACAATACAATATATTTATATATTAGAAACTAATTGAATGGTCTTAAAATGAATAACTAATATGATAAATGCATATTTTAACAAATTTTATGAATAATAGAAAGTTTTTATAATGATTTGTAAATATTTAAACTTTCCAGAACTGTTTACCTTCTCAAACTATTAAAACATATGAAAAATAATTTGAATTACTTCATATACTTTGGAATTTTCACCTAATAATAATCTTTATATAATAAGATTTCTACATTAGAAATGGTAATCTCATTGTATCATTTTCTTTAAAGTTATGATATAATGACATGAGATATTAACACATGAGTGTATGTCATTGATATTAACGTTTCTCAGCCTATTGGTTGAGACCTAACAAACAATTATGTTGGGTCGCACGGTAAAAAAAATGAGAAACGCTGATACCAACTAATAATGGTAATCGTGAAGTTTGATGATAGATGTATTGCTCATATTATGTATAGTACGGGTGTAGCTTTATAAAGAAAATCCATTGACCAAAACTGATTTAACAACC